AGCTATAACTAAGCCATAGTTTAAGCTGTTAGCTATAATTAAAGCCAGAATCAATAGTTATTTTTTTATAACTTTAAACTATAACTCAAGCTATAGCTTAAACTATTAGCTTGGCTTAACTTCAGCTTGGCTTCAAACTGTGGCTAAGCTGGTTTCAAGTGAGGCCAATAGCATCCCTAGGTACGGTATTATGTAGATTTTTATTATCTATATATATACTGTATATACCATAGATGAGGATCGTGTATGCACTTGAATTTTTCTAGCTGCTGCCGTACAATAAACCTGGATATATAATTAGGTATTTTGTTTTAGGCTACGGGACTTTTAATTAGTGTGTACATCACATGACTATGGCATGTTTTGATAAGGAGTATCCGAAGGGCACGCATGCAATATTAGGTATACGTAAATTCATATCAGATATAGTCTTGTTATTTGATATATTAGCATGTGATGATATAATTACATAATATCTTGTGGCAAGGCAAAATACACGATCATATTTGTCGTTTACATAAGCATCTCTTAAATGTTTCCCTAAACTTCGAATGTATATATTGTATATGCAGAACTTTATTAAACATCACTGAAAGAATTACATTACAGCATTATACCTGTATTTTTGTGTGCCAATCTTGTTATAGTAATTTTTAAAAATCTTGATTATGAAGCCTGAACTTTATTAAATATCACCCAAGAGAATCGGAAAAATCATTTTATACATGACGTAAATTATTGCGGCGGTATTATTTGTAAAAATCTTGATCACGTTATACAAGATTATGTGTTCAGACTGGTCGATCAGAATGTATATCAAAATTAGGTAATTGTCACGTGCTCAAAGAATTTTCTGTCATTGTCGGTTCGATAACGATAAGTTTCTAATACAGATATAGAAATAAAATAAAAGTCAAATTACAGAATTATATAATTTCATTAGTCAATTTACACAATGCAGAAACGTCAACAGGGCTATATACAACTTTCAACTCCTGCAGAAGCTCTCGCTCAAAAGCCTTTGGTTATAGATCCGCAAACTGAACCTCAAGTCGGCGGAAGAACAAGAATGAAATCGAAACAGCCCAATAGAACCACAAAGACTTCTCAAAAATTAAAACTTTTCCCTGAAGATCAAGCAACTTCTACTACTGTTGATGAGACAAGTGATGGGAGATATAATCAGATTGGTCAAATTTCACAAGGAACTGCTAGAAGAGAAGCAGAAAGACTTAGTAAACAAGAGCGACTTAAACTTCCACGGGTTACTGCTTATTGCACAGCAGCGTATGCTAATTTGAAAGGAATTACATCCTTTATTTATCTTAAGTAATGTCGCAGCTGATGCTGAAAACGGCTCATGCTGAAATTTGGGGTCTCTATTTAAATCTATAATACCTACTAAAATCC